GATGCTGACATCATAAGGAAATCCAAGTCACCGTTCTCAAGCAATGTCGTTCTGTGCAGGAAGAAAAACAACGAACTTCGTATGTGTGTTGACTATGGGCAACTCAACAACAGGACAAAGAAGGATGCCTACGCATTACCTATCATAGAAGAAATCTTGGAGAATTTAAGTGGGAATGGGTATTTTACAGTCCTAGATGCAAAGTCGGGCTATCATCAGACCTGTGAACATCAAAGAGGAACACAAGGAGCGTACAGCTTTTACTGTGGGACCCCTTGGGTTCTATGAGTATAATAGGATGCCCTTCGGATTGTCGAATAGTCCTGCGACATATCAGAGACTTATGGAAGAATGTCTTGGTGACCTACACCTTAAGATATGTTTCATCTTCCTGGACGACATCATAATTTTCTCCAAGACTTACAAGGAACATATGGAAAGACTTCAACTGGTATTTGACAGGTTAAGAGCAACAGGACTGAAGTTATCCCCAAAGAAGTGTAACTTTCTGATGGAACGGGTGAAATATGTTGGACATATTGTATCCAGGAATGGTATAGAGACAGATCCGGAGAAAACGGAGAGAGTTAGAACTTGGCCAACACCTAAATCACCAGAGGAAGTAAGAAAATTCCTGGGATTTATCGGATATTACAGGCGATTCATACAGAACTTCAGCAGAATAGCAAAACCATTGACCATCCTGATGCCAATACCCAAAGACAAGAAGAAAGGAAAACAGATAGCCAAACAGAAACGGATATGGGGTGAAGAACAAGACCAAGCATTTACCAAACTTAAACAACTGTTAGCAGAACCACCTATATTAGGATTTCCAGATTACTCAATTCCATTCGAGTTACACACAGATGCCAGTATTCAAGGACTAGGAGCGATTTTATATCAATCACAGGAAGGGAAAAAGAGAGTCATCAGTTAAGCAAGCAGAGGATTAACCAGATCAGACGCAGTTATGATAAGGCTGTCCGAAGGCTTAAAATTCCTTGAAAATATGCATTTTATTTTGAGCTAAATTTTAATTTTAATTTGTAATCCTTGTTTGAAATTGCAGTCAACTTGAGGTAATAGTTTAATTAGGTTTTATTTTAACGCATTTTTGTGATGTCACATGACTGTGTTGATCACGTGACGGAGATTTATGATATTCCAAATTGTTGCACAAAAATCGCTCTAGCACAAGTGCAAATCAAAAAAATTGTGCAAAGTTTGTTACATAGATCAATTCATCGTGATCTCTGGTACATAGAAAGTGCTGGGGGCAGGTTTAATTTTTACTCGTTCAGAAAATATTTTACGAGAAATTCAACTTACCAACATAAGAAGGGGTTTTTCCACTCTTTATCGCGATTTATAAAAAAATGAATAAACTAGACACAATGCCCCAGCAAAATTCAGTTAGAGGACATACTTCTCTTGTAGATTCACGCAGAATATCTTCAATTTGTCCTGGTTTATCACTTGTGCCAGTCCAATATTTAACACATTCATAAATTCTAATTCTGTCTCCTGACGTGTAAGGGGAGCGTTTCACATATAATTTTTGCTATTGTTTGAATATGTGCATATCGGACAAGCATAAGGAATAGGGATATTTAAATTTCAAATGTTCATCATCAAAACAGCACACTCGAGCTTCAAGAGCAATCCATACACTTGAATTAAACAGCAAGTCCCCAAAAGAAATCTACATGCCATGTTATAATTATGACACTTCCCCCGACATGTCAGCTCAAGTATGCAATAACATGACGTCATATTCTATTATGACGTCATATCTAGGTAGTTCAGAGAAGTTACTAGAGTCTGAACAGTTTGATATTTTACGGGCAGCCTTATCCTAGCTGCGGAGAGAAATTATCCTGCCCACAAGATGGAATTTCTAGCCCTTAAGTGGGCAGTAACTGAGAAGTTCAAAGATTATCTCTACGGAAACTCATTCACCTTATATACAGACAACAATCCTCTTACATATGTCTTAACGACTGCAAAATTGGACGCAACCGGACATAGATGGTTAGCGGAGTTGTCCAACTACAATTTTAACATCATTTACAGACCTGGTAAGAATAACAAGGATGCAGATGGATTAAGCAGAGTTCCAGAGGATGTACAGATAGATAAGGAATCAATCAAAGCCATCTCGAATTCAACATACACACAAGGATTAGTAAAGAGTATAGCTATAGATACCAATGTTTTACAACAGACCATCAGTGAGTCGGATATATCGGACACCACCAAAATTGACTGGAAACAAAGACAGGATGCAGATGAGTTACTGAGGAAATGGAAATACTTTGTGAAAAGTGGAAAGAAACCAAAATAACACCAAATGACATCTAATGAGGAATCAAATGCCTTGAGGAGGAATTTCAAGAACTTGTTTATAGAAGACGGTGTATTATACAGAAAAACCAGAACCTCAGGAGAAGAAAGAAATCAACTAGTTCTACCTAGGTGTTACATCAGCAGTGTTTTAGACTATCTACACAACAAATTTGGCCATCCAGGACGGGAAAGGACACTATCCCTGATTAGAGACAGGTTTTATTGGAACGGAATGATTAAGGACACAGAGAACTGGATTAAAAATTGCCAACGATGCGTGTGTAGGAAGACACCAACAAACCAATGTGCACCTTTGACAGGCATAGAAACATCATATCCTTTAGAACTAATCTGTATGGACTTCTTAACGCTAGAACATTCAAAAGGAGGTTTCCAGCATATTTTAGTGATTACTGACCACTTCACCAGATTTGCGCAAGCCATACCAACTCGCAATATGACAGCAAGAACAACAGCTGAAATCCTATTTCACAACTTCATAACTTACTATGAAATACCATCAAGAATCCACAGTGACCAAGGAGCAAACTTTGAGAGTAAAATCATAAAGGAACTGTGTAACATCACCGGCATGAAGAAATCCAGAACTACTCCATATCATGCAATGGGAAACGGGATGACTGAACGCTTTAATAGGACATTGTTGGACATGCTAGGAACATTACAGCCACATCAGAAATCTAATTGGAAGTCTCATGTTGCACCATTAGTCCATGCATACAATTGCACACGCCATGAGAGTACCAGTCAGTCACCTTACTACCTCATGTTTGGACGGGAACCACGGCTTCCAGTTGACTTGGCCTTTGGTATTAACAACCAGCAACAGAAAACTTTGTCCAAGTACATAGAAGACCTTCGCCAGAAAATGAAGAAAGCTTATGAAATTGCAACGTCATCAGCAACAGCAGCCCGTTCTAAACAAAAAGAAGTATATGATATGAAGACAAGGGGAAACAACATCAAAGAGGGAGATAGGGTATTAGTGAAGATTGTCAGTTTCGATGGCAAACATAAAATAGCAGACAGATGGGAGGAGGACATCTACATAGTACTGAGGCAACCAAATCCCACGATTCCAGTGTATGTTGTAAGGAAAGAGAGTGGTGAGGGAAGGAAAAGAACATTGCACAGGAATCTTCTACTTCCCATAGGTCACCTGGATAGTTTTAGAGAATCCAGAAAGACAAAGCCAGATATAGCAGTAGCTGAATCTACAAAGAATAGCACTAAGAGAAATCATCGACCAGAACCAGTACAAGAGACCACTAGTGATAGTGAATCTGAGGAGGAGTCAGACAATGAGGTACCGGTACCAAGCTTTAGTCAGGACATCCCACATGATGCTAATGACGAAGAAGAAAGTCAGGTAGGGATAGAAGTTGAGGACGCCCAACAAGCTGAAGATTCAGATGAAGTGGAAACTGAACAACAGCAACCTACAACTGACCAGTTGGGAGAGATGTCACAGGGTGACAACAGTCAAGTATCAGATGCTGCAGAGATTGCACCTGAAGAAACACTAGTGGAGGATGATGAAGAAGAGCAGCAAGTCAGGAGAAGTACTCGACAGAAGACACAACCATCCTGGATGAGGAGTGGTGAATATGTACAATCTGTCCAAAGAGGTAAAAGTACTGAGGATCCTTGGAATGCAAAGGAGAAGATACAGTACTTGCAAAGTATCCTGATCACTGGTTCCTGTAGAGGGTTTGAGAACAAAATCATTGATACGATGATTGATCTAATGAAGCAGTAATGTTTATTTTATGATTTTCTTTTCAGCTTTTCCTGAGAATTTTAATTTGTATATATTTCAGTTTTTAGGATGTTTTCTCACACATTGCTCCTGAGCATTGCATGTGTGAATTTGCAGAATGGTGAGTATTATTTTTAAAAGATTATTTTCGAGTCTTAGTATACAGATCACATTCAGTAAGTTATCAATTTTTCTACTTTTATCTTTCTATCTTTACGTAATATAATTTCTTTGATTGAAAGAGAGAACGAGTGAAGTTTTGAAATAAAGTTCATTGTCTCTTGTAAAGTATTATTTTCAGTAATCATATTCATTATAAGCAATACTAGATATAGATATTGTAATTTGTACAGTTTTATTATTTTTTATGATCAGCTATATTGTCTTGAGATTACGGCTGAACCTATGATTGTTGTTTTTATATAGGTTCTGTATAGATGTAATATTCGAGCCAGCATTTTTGTTAGTGCTCAGCCTGATTCCATAAATTGGTACGCTATAGGAATTATTACTTGTTTTTACATTTTTTATATACTTTGATAAATTATCTAAACTTACGGAAATTTCTATCTAAACACGATTTTGGTAATTCTGAAATTTGTAAGAGTTATTTCCCTTTTTACGCATTCCTGAATTTGGAACATTTATATAATCTGTTAAATCTATTTTTAGTAAAATCCGTGTCGATGTATGAGGACTGCATTAAACTGAATATATTGTTTGATGTCATTTACTTATTGTATTTTATTTCTTATAGGGCCGATATTTTCACTTTATTGACTGTTTATATGTGGAACGAGATCCATGGCAATAAAGAATCCATGCAACCCTATAACTGTGTTTTCTTCAATATGACACGGTCACAATTGAACAGACATCTAGCATGCACCCTAAGACACCACTTTCTTGTCTTTCAAACCAGCAACTTATTAACGAAGTCAAGGCATCTAGACGGAGCTTAAGAGAGATGAAAACTCAGATACAGTCTCTGACAAATGGTATTTATAATCTTTCTTTCATGATCTTTGAGGGAAAAGATTACTGATAACTAATTTCTGTTTTATTAATAGTATTATAATCTCTTTGAATACTGAGGTATAAAATAACAACAAATATTAGATGTATTTGAGGCATGTTCCATATCCTTTAATTGGCTACATTGCCAAGATTACAGCATTATTAAATTTGAAAGCATCACAGCACCTATTAGCTTCACTTATTATTCAATTATTATCTTGTTTTAATCATTTCTCTTTACTTTGATAATTGATTCTAACCACCCGTACAATCTTATAGGTATGACTGAAACTGTGGCAAATGACGTTGGAGAGGGGCTCTATTCTTCCATCGAAGAAAATCCTCCAGATGACAGTTTTTTAGAATTATTTTGGAAAGAGCAGAAAAGGGCATTCAAGTCCAGTCCTAAAGGCATGCGATGGCACCCTATGATGATACGTTTTGGGATATTTTTGCAATACCAAAGCGCTAGAGCATACGAATCAATTAGAGAATCTGGAGTGCTAAAATTACCCAACAAGTCAACATTGAGGGATTACACCAATGTTATAACACCAGCCACTGGCTTTCAACCATGTGTATTTGAGGTATGTTTTGTGGAAGTACTGAAGATATGACAATAAGGCATCACTAACCAAAAAATATATGATTTTCTTTCAGTAGTACTTAGAATATCTCCAGTGTACTGCACATCAAAAAAGGAGGTGTAATAAAAATGGCCTATGCATATACAGTTCTTTATTGTTATGTTAAATTGTTATTCAGGAACTTACAAAGATGGCCAAAGACCTCCCTCCAGAGAAAAGGTATGTGGCACTCCTCCACGACGAAATGAAAGTTAAGGCTGACTTAGTTTATGACAAAAGGAGCGGGCAAATAATTGGATTTACCAACCCAGAAACTTGGACATTCAATGAGGTATTAATGTAGTATTACAATTGTCTTAAGAAATGGATTTTAGCAAAATAGATTAGATTCTACAATTCTTCAGAACTTTGAATAAATTCATTTAATATTTCCCTCTTTTGAGTAGGATGAAGTTAGTAAAATCGCTACCCATGTCTTGGTTTTTATGGTGGTTGGCATTAACTCTCATATTAAAATGAGCATTGGACATTTCCCAACCCGGACATCAACAGCGGATGAGCTGTATCCATTGTTTTGGAGAGCTGTGGCTTACCTGGAAATAACATGTGGACTGAAGGTAAACAGTTTAATACTACTGAAATTTTTAGTTTTTCCATCAACCTTTTATACAGTCCAAATTATTAAGAAATATTTTTTCTCTGCCAAATCATAAAAATATTTTCATTTTGTGCAGGTAATCACATCTACTAGTGACAAGGCCTCCCCAAATCAGCGTTTGTACAGGCTTCACAGAGTTGGAAATGAGCCAGTTGTTTACAAAGCTAAGAACGAATTCGCAGAAGATGAAGAACGCTACCTCTACTTCATATCAGATGTTCCCCATTTAGTTAAGACTATACGAAATAACATCAGCAAGTCAAAGCCAGGTGGAACAAAGTATCTCTGGGTATGTTTATGTCCTCAATCATGTTGAAGTTAAAACTGTTTTCTATGGCTTGTCTTTCTCTTTAAGTTTTATGGCATTTGATATGTATGTATAATTATGTTGTATTATCTGTTTTCATCTGTGATGTTGAAAAAATAATAAATTTTACAGAATAACAACAAGAACATTCTTTGGTCTCATGTGACACAGTTATGTAACGATGATATGGCAAGACAGTTATACAGAACCAAGCTAACATATGAACATGTCTACTTGACACCATCATCAACAATGTCTGTTAAACTTGCAGTTCAGGTAATCATGTAATTCTATCATATTAATGTATTATAATTTAATTAAGGGAAATTATATAAAAAAAAGTTTTTGAGTAAGTTGTGCAAAGGGCTTATACAGGCAATGTCTGCTGCCCTATTTAATTGATTATTCAGTAAAAATATTGTTCAAGTGAGCATTTGGAAGTAGTTACCATTTTATGTATCAATGCACGTGAATTTTTCTAGGTGCTGAGCAGTTCTGTGGCCAGAGTTATGGAAGCCTACTATGGACCACAGATGTCAGAAACTGCCACGCTGTTCAAGCTTTTGGACAGATTTTTTGACTGTCTAAATGGTAGATCATTGAAGGAATCAGCTTTCACAAGAAAGCCTGATGTTGCTCCTTACAAATCTCTTAATGACCCAAGATTTCAGGTAAAATCATTTCTTTACATAAAATAACATAAAAATGTAATTTCTGATTATCTATAGTATGTATATCTTTTTGTTTTGAACAACAATTTGCAGTTCCTTGAGCATGAGTTCCTACAGTACTTTGAGCGATGGCTACAAGCTGTTAGGGCTAGACCAGGATTCACCAAGGCAGAACAGAACAAAATGTTCATTTCATTTCAAACTCATGAAGGAATAATTATGACAGGCAAGTGCAGTAGCCATTTTCAAATATTATATCATGTTAAATTGATTCAGTTGCCCCTATTTTAATTACTCATCCAGGTCTTTCTTTTTTTCCTCATATTAATCGATAATCCATAATTTTTTTTCCCCAGTGAAAGCATTCGTTGAGGCCACGAAGTACCTCCTGCAACATAACCTGCCGTATGTGCTGAGCAACGATTTTTGCCAGGACCCCCTAGAGGAGCATTTTGGAAGGCATAGGAGATTGGGGGCAAACCAGGACAACCCAACTGTTCACCAGTTTAGGTATTGTTTATTTTTACTAAAACAATGATTATAACATCTAAAATAAATGAAAATTCTTCACAAATTTATCAATTAAAGATTTTATTGCTTTTATCACATTGTTACTTTTCTATTTATAAAGTTATCAAGAAAACAAACTGCGACTTCAAAGAAGCCTGGCCTTTCAATTTGTTCCTAAGGGCAACACTGGTCCACAAGGACAGAAGAGACCAGTGGTTGTATCTAACAGTCCACTTAAGAAAAGACGTAACTAACATCTTTAGATGTAAAATTAATGTGGAATTCTTTTTCTATGTACATATTTAGATTTAGTCTAGACATTTACGAAGGGCTTTTTGTTTACTTGCAGATTTTGTTTTCACATAGTACTTTCCATAAGATGTCTACATTTTGCATTGCATCTAACTTTGTGATATAATGAGCACATTGATAAAAATATCTTTTCCTGCTGTTCAGTTTTTGACTCTGAGTGATATGTACAATCATAGAACAGGGACATCACTTTGTTGTCTTGACAAATTGCATCACTAAATTTTTGAAGCGAAGGAACTGAGACTTCTGTACACAATTTTCTAAACAATATTTCCAGAACTACAAAGAAATTTGTTATTTCTTGTGATGGTTGTGTCAAACCACCCCTGGATTTTACAGATATTAATTTTGTATTTCCATCCTTCTCAGTAAGTTTATCAAAGTATTTGGCCATCTCTTGAAAAGAAATAAATTTCTTCTTACATCTAAATAAAACGAAGCCAGCTATATATGTAATAATATCTCTCTCCAGATCTGAGAACACTACCTGTGCTAGCAATTGAGGTAGAATCTGGCAAAGGTGTATTTTGTTTAATAACTTCTTCAGCAGTTTTTAATGATAAAAATGCTGAAAGTTGTTGATTTTTTACTACACTGGATAGTCTTTGAATCAGTTCAGGTTGGAGATGATGATATGATTGCCATGCCTTTTCCCTTACTGCACCAGAGAAGATTTCTGTTTTTATGATTGTGTCAAGTTGCCTTAGAGTTGGAACCAACTTGGAAGCTGTAATGTATTTGTACTGTAACTCAGATTTAAACAAATTCCTCATTGTAGAAAGGTATAACCTATTAAACTTTATTTTTGATGAGGTCATGATTTGTTTATTTATTTTTTTTAAATAATTCAATATTCATTTAATTGCTGTTAAATTGTTTATGCAACAGTCTGTAAATTCAATATTGTCTTTAAATCACTTTTGCAATAATTTATAAAATCAGTTCACAGGTCACAGTCAAGGTCATTTAGCCATTATTGAAATAATTTGTAAATTCAAAACTGTCATTAAATCACTTGTAATTATTTATCAATTCAACAAAGACGTGATATTGTAATTAACAAGAGAATTAAACAGTCACAAGTAAAAGAATACAGATTCTTGAGGCTTGGAAGATTGCAACATAATTTGCTCTGACTTGTTTTTCCCCCACTTACTAGTATATGAGTACATTTACCACTAGCATCATACATTGCAGACCATTTTCTATCAAGTTATCTGTAATCCAGACTCAAAATGTTGTAATAAAAATGCAGTCAGTGATTAAGTACAGAAGTGACTGATCAAATATACAGCCAAACTTCTGCACTTTTCTCAACTACCACAAGTAAAAAGTGCATTCATGAAACCTGGAACAAAATAACTTTCAAATATTATTAATGAGAGAGAACAATATAAAGAAGAAAATTTTAAGGTTGCATTGAGACATTTACCACTTATGGTTCCCAAATGAGACCTCATTTCCTCTGGCAAGATGATGTCATTCTGAATTTCAGAAATGACTTTAGAGACCATTTCTTCAGAGATGATTACAGTTTTATTGGGTAAAACTGGCAATGAGACAGAGTGCTCCTCTAGAATTTCTTCTTCAAATATTGCCTTCAAATAGTGACAAACACCACAAATTAGAGTGTAAAGTGATTAAATCCACACATCAGTCGCAACTAGAAGTAGAATAGCTAAATCTGGTGATTGTACCAAAGCTGTCTATAGATTCTCCCCTTTTAACTAGATGTTGTTACCATGTGCAAAAATGATTTTTCTAAACATCAAATAAAAATAACCTTCAACTACAGGTGTGTGTGTGTGTGGGGGGGGGGGGGGGTAAGTGGCTTACTTTTTTCAAGGCTAACTTCCTTTCACTTTCAATTTTTTTTTGCATACAATACTACATGTTCTTGATTTAGCTATACTGAGGTAAAAGGGGGGGGACACCAACCGGTAATGTTGGAAAAAAAAGTGGGGGGGGGGGGGGCAGCTGTTGCTACGTGCCTGATAAAGACAGAAAATTGATAGAACAAATATATAGAAATAGATTGATATTTAGTCGTTTTTCATTAAATTTATAAACCCTCGTAATACATATTGACACAATCATAACAGGATTATGAAGAGTTAAATCTAGCACAGACTGTTTATCAAGTGTATTGACTAAAGAAGAGTGTATGTATTTCCCTGTCCTCTTTTATATATATATAGATCCCTGACTACCTTTAGCTGTCAGAGCATTGGGGGGAGGCTTATGGACCCGCCGCTTGGCGAGAAACGTCTTGCGTATTCATCAACCACACACAACA